TTCATATTGTATTTCGCGAATGAAGCAAGACGAGCATCAGGTGATGTTATTACAAATCACAACCCGTCTGTGCGGCACGGTCGCGCAGGAAGCAGAAGAGCAGATGAGTCATCGCTCGCCGCGAGCCGCGTGGCCCCTCCCAACTACGTTAGCGCCGTTTTCTTTTCACCTATAAGTTGGGTGTGTACATTTAGCTAGGCCAATCTAGGCAGACTCACCTCATACCTAGTTCCCCTTGGGGAGTGGTGCGAGGTGAGTCTTCGGGAGAGTGGGTGTATGGGGAGGCTTCGCGCAACTGAGTGCTGAACACTCCTTGTTAGGCTCACCCAAGAGAGAACAACAGCAAGAAAACCACTAAGTTCATTCCATAAAAACGGTTGAAGGTTATAAAATTGTTCCATTTTTTCCGTTTCGGTAGTGCTTTTCAAACATGCATTGGCGACTTACTTGTAGTTGTTTTTTATTTGTTTAAAGCTGATGCCTGTTTCCGTCTGCATGGTGCTATGAACAAATACATTAGAGAAAGAGTAGGCTGAAGCATTGTGGAAGCAATGATGAGTGGGTAATTAGGAGCTCGTATAGTCAAGTTGTCGAGCATTGAAGGTTCAGTAGGTGCTGCGAAAGCAGTCCAAAGTTCGTGAGTGCCCAGTCAGGGAAGTCCTAAAACTGGTTAAGATCGGCAAAAGACCTCACATATAGGCCGTACTATAGAGTAAATTATAGAGTTTAAGGGTTGCGGTTTTTGAGCCATAAAGCAGCTGTGTCAGACAGCATAGAAAACCCTTCGTTGTTGCAAATGTTTTCACATTAGGTTTTCTTAGTACCCTAGATTCTCTAGGAAATCACTCACGACATTTGGCTCAATACTACCGAATGCTTTTTGGTAAGATGCTTTCATCCACAGGCAAGAAAAAACAATGTTGCAGTAGTTAAGGGTACGTAGAAAAACAGCCACTACACGATCAGTCTGGCGCGCTCCGCGGACGCGCCGCACAGACAGGTTGTGATTTGTAAATAACATTGCATCAGGTACGGTCGTCCACATAAGGGCGGACGGGGCGGTGGGCGTCCGGATCGGTTTGTTGCAGCTTGATAGAGCGTTATAAGTGCATGTTCTTGGGAAAGGCGCTACGCAGCGCCTGCTTGTGGGAAATTTCGTCCGGCCAGGCGTGTTAATGCTACTCAACTTAGAGATTAATCGTGTTAACTGCCTTCAAACGCAGACGTTTACATGCGTGATTGTCCTTAGAAACAGCCAACGTGCATTGAAATCAATGCAAGAGCCTCAAACGTGATGTGAGGAAGTAGGATGGAATCAATCCATATTCCGTTAAAATTTACTGAACTGTTTGGGGCTATTCCGTTCTTGTTTGGTTGTCAACGCCAGCCAGTTGGTTGCGTACCACTCGAGTTTACATAATGTGTTTGTGATGTTCGCATTACAGTTATTTACTGTTTCCGTGTTGGATGCAAGATCTAAATCCTTTTTTGCCAGATGCTGCGGGTGGCATTGTCACCGCTGCTTTCTCCTGCAGTGGAGACTTCGCGTCTGCTCATCACTAGCATTCCTTCAGCGGTCACCGTGCAATCTCGAGGAAGACGTCGTACTTTAACGCCTGCTCCGTGGGTAAGACGTTTCTATCTTGAACCTGCGTTTGTTGCACGTTTCGCTGTATCAAATGCTCTGACATTTCAGTCCAATCGATTTCCTTTCCTTAATCTGTCAGATCCTTTCGATTCTATTTAAATGACTTTAGTTGACCTTCCTGCTTGGTATGAACGAAAACCCACGCCGACTACATTGGAACGATGTCCTAAGCCGGGTTGCGTTTGTGCATTATAACATGATAAAAATACTCGTGGTATAGCTACATGTTGATCTCATTTAAGGGCGTTACTGCAGGAAGGTGATATCTGCTGAAAAAGATTTGCGCTGAGAATTCAGCAATGATGCGTACCCAAGAAAGCGAAGCAAAGATCGCAGATATAGAATTGCCCACAAGAAGAGTCGGTAAGTCCGGATTTCGAAGAGATTGATATATGAAGTGTGACAGAAGATTCTTTGAAGGTCTGCTTGCTCGGAGAAGATAGGAATGGCACTCAGGACAGTTACTGGGATCGAATATTTGTGTTACACTTCTTGAATTTGTGAGGTTAGAAGACTGTATCGTATTTAATGACAAAATTCGTATTGAAAAAGTAATGGACGTGTTGGTTGTCTTTCTAGGAAATAGGGGTTCTGGATCTAAGGTGACCGTTGGCAGTAATATTGTACTATCAAGAATTACCGTATTCCCTAACGAAAATTCTCTTTTTCAGAACCACGTCGTTAGTGTGATTTCTCCTGAGGAATGGTATCGTAGAAGTCTTATTGGAAAACGGAAAGCATTCAACAGAGAGGGACCCATGTGGAAGGTGAGGTTTTCTATTTGCACGCTGCACTGAGAACAACTTCATCGTTTGCAGGTAACAGTTGGGGCAGTGGACTACAATGTGGACCGATTTTCTCATGCTTACAGAAACCAGTTCGTTCGGGCTGGTGTCCCAGTTAAAAAATATCTTGGTTCATTCCTGGTAATTTTTATTTATTTCTGCTTTGATTTTTTAAATGAAAGACTTTCAAGCTTCTTTCTTTGAGTAGGGACTTCTCATTTTAATCTCAATATATTTTGTTGAAAGGGTTTCACAACGGGCCGGTCAAAGCGAATTGTCATCGCGCGGTTACTATGATTGACATCACATTGTAATTCAAAGACAGTCCGCGCGCTCGAGCAGCTGGTAGGCGTTCTTCCCTATACAAGGTAGTCTTGCCATCAGTCTCTAAAATATCGCACCAATAAGTGACGAGGGCGCTATGACCCTGATAAGTGGCATTCCTGACGCCTCTTCAGTTGTCCCGCCCTCCGAAACTCAAGGGTAATTTTCTGTCGTAAGTTCACATTTACACCACTTCTTTTCGTTTATTTCGTTGTTAGATGGTATTAATATTGAATGACGCGGAGAAACGATCATTGAGCTAGAGGTAGTAGGATATCGCTTTGCTGGCATAAAACCAGCTGATGAAACGAGCAGCTGAGCTGAGAATTCGCTTAGAGAGGCTGCCGGGTCTCTAATTCGGGTGTTCCCATGGTTTTTTTTCGCCTTCTTCTCCTGGCGGGATGTTCAGCGCCTAGGGTTTGTAACTGAGCGCCACTATCCAACAACAGCGGGGGTTTGCCTTCGAAGTAGTAACGTCTGCTTATGATTGTATCTGTTGCCATAAGAAGAGGAAAAGTTTCTGCGTTAGATCATACTCAGTGACTGGGAAGGAGAATCGACCATTGAAAGTTCGCGGAGGATGTGCGTCAAAAGTGAAGGTATTGTTCTGGCCACTTTTAGAGAAGAGGGATCGGCAAATGGGTATTGGGAAAACACACTTTCAACGCCGTAATCGATCGATTCCCATCTGCACTGTCTACAGTTTAATGTCGCACTCTTTTGAATTCTTTTGAGTTTCCGATACTCGCTAGGAGACTACCAGGATTTTGTATCCGAGTGCAGCTTGACCGATGAGCACAAGTTTCGCGTCCCCCTTACTAATACACCAAAACACTTCGAAACATCGCACTCATTAAAAATTAAAACTATGCACCAAGCTATTTGGACCCTAAACGACTATAACTACCTTGGAATGAAAGCGAATGATATCCGTGTTATGAACACCGGCGCCAAAACTACTTGCGGACGCGCTCATGGCGCGGACGCAACAAGCACTTTCAGTTTGAGCTAATGTGATTTGCTTGTTTGGATCAACTCATCTTCGGAACATAGTTTCGGCCTAATTCGTCTTGGAAGAAAAACGGGAATTGAAGTGTGGCCTCTATTTCGAACAGTGTGCAGTAACTCGCGTTCATACTCCGCGATCGCGGCGATTGGATCGAGGGATCGGACCCGCTCGACTAGATTGCGTGATTGGGCGCGCGACCCCGTCAAACGATTTCGACCGCTCGCTGCACCGCTAAACGGTGCACCCGCCACAACTCAAAGACAGTCCTGTGCTTAACCCATTCGCGTACCCGCATAGCTGCACATGGTGCAGCACGCTTCGTTTAAACTTATTTAGCACTGTTCGCTGACCCAAGAGTGTCAGTATATGAAGTCTTCCGGAAAGAAATATATGTGTCGGAAATGGCAGACAAGCTAGAGCTGTTATCGAAATTTTTTGGCAAATTTTCACTATTATATATTCGTCTATTTCCTTAAGATAACAGCAAGCCATAGAATTCTGGGTGTTTGACTTCACTAAAAATTCGCAAAATAGTAAAGCTGAACAATTTATAAACATATTACGTCCTGCTTCCAATCCTTCTTGAATTTATCAACCTTTTTGTCAATTTTCGCATGTTTTAGCCCATCACGTTTATCACGTAATGGTATCCAACTTTACTTATCATAGTCATGCATACAAGTGTAATGTATAATACGAAGTATATGTCATATGTATATGATAAAAATCACATTTGTTTATACTCGGCGCGCCACGAGTCGCGTCGACAAAAAGGCGTCGGCCACAGGCGCCCGTTTTCGCGAAAACGCCGCGGTACGCAATGGGTTAAGTAATTCGTGGTCATCCTTCCTTGTGCAGGCAGTCCAGCCCTCAAGCTAAGAGGCTGTTCCACTTTCAGGACTCCACACCGAGTGAGGAGTGTGCTACAGCCGTCGAATGTTCTAGTTTCAATGCCCACTGATTTGGACCGCCCACTCCAACGAATGTCCTCTCCACACCCTAACGTAGGCGCTCATTTTTGCTTGTTGGGACGGCGGGCATAAATCGGAATTGCGTATCCATTTTTGCCGGCCGCGCTCGTGCTGATAAGTAATTCCGCTTTCCTCTTCACCAGCAGCAAATTCAGTGAACGGCAGCCCATCTCGCAAAGTAAGACTTTATATATCATCAGTGATGTAATTGGTTGGTGCAGAAGACTTGTCTACCGTAATCCTAAACTCGTGCGCAGAGTTTCTGAAAGTTTCTTTGTGTTACGAGTTTTGCGTCAGTGTAAGTACTGGGAGATGCGATAAAGCGATTTGTGAGCCAGGGGTTGCACAGAGACCGCAGGGCGGTGTGACTGTCAGGGAGCGATTTTGTTTATGGTGTTCTTGAGGGCTCTTTTTCCTTTTTTTCTTTGGGAAATCACTTATCAGCTACTAGCTTCATAAAACAGCAAATATCCATGACATTCGATCGCGAGAACTGTCTTTCAGTTGGCTCTGCGCGAACTCGGCTCTACAATTCAATTCAAATTCAGTTTGCGGCATTGCACTATTCCGCGGTGTATCGCCCCCAGTTGGTATCGCTCAACTAGATCGCCCGACCCGGTGGAGCGATCCTAGCGCGTAATCCAGTCGCGCGATCACCAGGTATGAACGCGATCTGAGGGTAAAATAGTGCCTTCCACAACTCTATAGCATAATGGGAGGGGAAAACTGCAGACAAAGAAAGAGGCACTATTCACTTTTAACTGCCTTTTCTATTGGAAGAGGGAAGAAACCTCTATATATCAACCAGATCTGAGAAATACTGGCAACAGTGTTATGATGTTAATTGCTTCAATGAATCGTTTAATGAGTAGTTTTGATAAGTGTTTTTCCACGGAAATTTTTGTTAAGCAGAACTTCCCCAACCAATTATTTGTGATTCGTTAAGGTCTCCGAAGAGGCATTGCCTACTGTAGGCACGAAACTGGATGTCCGACATTTTAGCGTCGGACAGTACGTCACTGCTACAGGGAAATCGATTGATTGGGGATTCCAGGGTGGGATGCACAGATGGGGTATGAGAGGACAGCCAGCTCGGAAGTACGTTTTCATGTCTTTGGTCATGAGCATCCGACATCTTTCAATACGAATTCGTTCAGTACGACTAAGTCACATCGTCGTATTGGTTCAGTTGGATCCACCGGTGATGCTCGTGTTTGGCCAGGCAAAAGAATGCCTGGTCACATGGGATACGAATGGGTCACTACCAGTGGATTAGAGGTCGGTCTGATTCCATTTTCAAATCAAAGCGCTTCCCTTGATTGATTTACTGT